AGGTGCTATTTTTACAGCTTTTCTAGAAGTCTGAAATGGTTTCAAAATTCAAAGTCTAAAAAGCAGAAGAAAGTTTCTCCAAAAAAAAAATCTAGATTTTGGGGGTACTGGGTGGCTCAGACAGTTAATCGTCAAACTCTTGATTTTGGTGCAGGTCATGATCTCAGGGCCATGAGATCAAACCTTGAGTCGGGCTCTGCTTGAGATGCTCTCTCCCTCTGGCCCTCCCCCTACTCATACTCGCTTGCTCTCTGTTTATGTCCTTGTGAGCTTTTAGATTTGTAACCTCTGATATAGACCTTCACATACCAAATTTCAGCCTGTTTAGGTCTGAAAGTTTCAATGCAAGTTCTTTATTAGCCACAACCTAAAAAGGGGTAATTCTCTACCAGCCACCCCAGAACCATGTTTGCAAATACTTATCCTAGCACATACTGAAATCTACATGATGAATTGAGTCTTGAACCTCCCTCTTAATGAAATCAAGATTTAGAAAAAGCTCTAATGACAGAATTTCATAGCCTTGACCTTTAAACAAAACAAAAAAAAAAAAAAAAAAGAGGAGGGGAGCCTCTACTTCCTCGCCAAATCTGAAACTGTGTACTGTTTTGCAGCCCACCAATGAATGGGTTTTTTTTTTAAAAACACATTGAAACATGTAATATTGATTCTGACAATGATTAAGCAAAATGCACATTTCCTTTTTGCTTTCTAATGTTTCTCAATGAGAATGGAGCCATCAGTAACGATTTGTCTAAAACTCTGGAGTATCTGTGGAAAGGGGTCCCCGTTAGGAACATAAAAGGTACTTGGACAAGCATGTACTGAAATTGCACCTGAGTTGCTTGTCCCAGGAACTTCACCAGTGTGGAACCAAAATAAGAAGGAAAGCACAGACTTAGTGGAACCCTTTAAACTCTCTTCTTCCACTGAAAAACGATGCTGTTCTTCATAGATCCGGCACCATAGCCAGAGTCACAGATAATCTGGACATAGGGCAGTCAGCCCCTCCCCTCTGATAGTCCCATCATCTAACCAATCACTTCAGCCGAAACATACAAAGGGAAAGAGGAGGCCAGCCCAGAGGAGACCCTGGCTGCTACACCTGAGTTATCTTTCAGCAGGTGTAGCCATTCAAAGCCAGAGAGGCCTAGAGGATGAAGAGACAGCACCTCAGGTGGCCTTGCCAGGAGCCACTGGGTTTCATCCTGGCCTGACCCAGAAAAATCTTATGGAAGAGAACAAGAGGCCCAAGAGTTCTCTGATCTGCTGTCAACCAGCCGCCGCCGGGAGACTGCCAACGCGCTGCAGTGACTAGCGCAGAGTCGGCTGGGAGGGGATTACCAGCCTGATCCCCTGTCTCCCAGCCAGAAATGACTCAAACTTCACCAACAGCAAGGCCTGCCAGGGAGAGTGACAAAGAGCAGTGGAGAGGGTTTTCTTCCCCTTGTTTCTGTCTCTACAGCCCCTCCACCCCCCTTGCTGCTGGGGCAGAGATTCTGGACAGTGTGCAGCCTGTGAGGTAATCTGAATTCCTTGGCAACCAACAAATACCTGAATTCTTTCAAAACCGCAGGAATCCAGCAGAGAAAAGGTAAATATCCCTGCGGAGCCAGTGTTAATTAGCAAGGAAGGCTACTGAAGAAGGAACTGGGGGTGGGGAGGAAGGGAGAGGCATTGCAAAGGCTTTGGGGTCTTGTCTGAATTTCCACTGAATAATAAGGCTAAGGCAGAAAACACAGCAGGTCCTGAGTGGGATCTTCTCAGTGTCCTCTCCTCCCGCCTTCCAGCGTGGATCGGAGTCTCTGATTCCGTGGACGGACATCTTCACTCTCCCCAAGTTGCTAGTGCTACCTATCTTTGGGCAACTGACGACACATTTGGTTTTCAAGTCAATTTTGTTTTAATTTCTATTAACTTTTTATTTTTCCTGTTGCAGTGAAAATTTGGCTATTTGCTCTGTCTCAAAAAGGGCCTCGGCAAACCGTTTTAGACCACATATTGGATCCACCTAAAATTGTAAAATCCAGGGCAGAGTCTTTTTGGATTCCACCTCTGACAAGAAAAAGAAATCTACACCATTTTGGTAGAGAATGGTACCTCTCTCTGGAAACTGAGTGTCCTCTGCTGGTGCAAAGCAGGAACACATTTGCCAAACTCAAAAGTAGGGTGGACCTTTGGGGTGAAGAGCTGGGCACAAATTTGAGGAACACAATTTTTTCTAAACATCTCCATATTTTGCCATGTATAAGAAAATAAGGAGTCTTCCTGTGTTAATAAAACAACAAGGACAACTGGAAATTATTAATCTAAATAGAAACTACTTCTGATCTTTTTCTTATTAAGTTTAAAAAGGTCAAGAATTGACACAAAATATTTATTTCCCAAAACAGTCTTGTGAAATGAACTTAATCTTTATGTCACCTAAGCATTAATTTGAGGCTCAAAAGAGAAGTGACCCAGGAGAGGGCCCTTCTTTTCAAAAGAAGAAGCCAATTATATTTGCTGCCAGGGCTTTCTCTTTAGGAAAAATTATGGTTTTCCTTGTTGAACCTCAAAGTAAAATGGCCTAGTGATCTCATCCCAAACTGATTATCTTCAGTAATGTCGACAGAAAACACACGTGACACAAAATTACCAGAGGCTGCAGATCTGGAGATGCTAAAGACTATTGTTGAATGTAATAACACAGTTGAGCAGATTCTGAGGATTAAAAAGAAGCAGATGAATGCCAAGATCCACAGTGAGTTAAGACGCAGGAACTTGGGCACATGGAAGTTATTGTGTACAGCAATGCAGCCTCGTAGGACTCACTAATAGTCTGTCATACTGTACCATCCTTGTGTAAAGCTTTTATATTCACCTTACTTTTAGGGTAACTGAGCCAAAGCCCTGAAAACTATTATTTGGTTCAATTTAGTCTGAGTTTTTTTAAAAACTGTCTTCCAAATTATTCTGACAAAAAAAAAAAACATCCATTATAAAAACAGTACACAACCCCCCACACATAGACACACTCAGTTCCTGCTAGAGATAAGAGAAGATAGTTATTAATTTTATTAATGCAGTATATTCTGACTTCCAACACACACACCCGGTAGCCAAAGCACTCACGTATCTGTAGTAAATTCTATAATGCATGTTATACTGCTCTTGTTTCATAACTGAACCACTGAGGTCTTAAAACTATGCCAAATTTTACCAACAGAGAGGGCTATATATACTGTGAGTGCAATATCTTTGGAATAATATGCAGAACACGCAGGTATGAGATCTTTGAGAAACAATGGGTGTAACCTTGAGGTCTTTTCCCCATTCAGGAACTTCAATTTGGGACAGAACATAATAAGTTCCTGAGAAAGGCAGAGGAGGCAAGCTGGAGTGAGGATGGAGGGGAGGAAAGAAGGGAGTAGAGAAGCTCATGCTACACAAAAGGAAAACCTCAGGTATCCCAACTTGGCATGTGACTATTTAATATAAATATAAAAACCCTCTGCACCTTATGGACCAAGCAGAAGGACAGGGTACCTTTTACCTTCCTTTTGATCTATGTAGTATGGGGACTCAGCTTTCAAACCTATACTTCAAAGTCTGAGAGCACATGTGTCTACAAACAGGACAGAAAACTGCCCGCCTATGAAAAGTTGAATAGACCTAGTAGGCGGGGTGTGCTCAGATGCCAGGGTCAGCCCTTTACAGAAGAACTGAGAACGATTTTTGTTTACCCCTCCTTTCCAAGAAACAAGAGTCCAGAACCATGGAGTTTCAGTAGCCTCCAGTGTTCCTCAAGCTCAAACTCAGAAGTCTTACATGACCATGTTTCTGAATGCTGTCGCTGCCACCTAGAGGCGAAGGGGAGACTCAGCTCAATCGGCTATAGGCTGGTTAATAACACTGCTTGCTCTGATTCTAGTCCTAGGAGGCATCAATAAGTATCCAACAGAATTAAAATAACATTATACAATAACAGCTTCCAGAGTACAATAATTCATATCAAAGCACCTAAACTTAAATAGGTAGCCTTCTTTTAACCATGATATTTCCCATCTTCCAAGTGCATTTTCTATAATACACATATATAGACCATGCTTTTTATAGCTTGTCCTGGCTGATTGCAGATACAGAGTACCTCCTAAACTGCTATCCCTATAAGGCCACTATGCAGAAAAGGAACTTCAGAGCAAGCTAATTAGTAAATAGATATTTATTTTAGTTTTGTGGGGGAAAAGAACACGAGCACAACAAAGTTACATATTTATTTTAACAATTTAAAAGGCCTATGAAAACAATGTCACCTGTAATATTCTGTGAATGTATGGAAAAAACTTCAAATTATTATAACTTGAGCTTAGTTTTGTGACATTACCTTAAAACCTAAAAAAGTACCTCAAGAGAAACAGAATAATGTATATATAACCACTGAAAAGTATATTACTTGAAGGTAAAAAGAAAAAAAAAGCAGCTAATGTCCCCAAAACACAAAAGGACACAAAATAGCTCAGGCTATGAGCTCTGGAGTAAGATCCATGAATTCAAATTTTCACTCTACTACCATCCAGCTGGGAGAGCTCCAAACAGTGCGCCCCTTGAAGTTACAAAACTGCATCAACTATAGGGTTGTTCTGAGCATTGAAATTAATATCTGATGATATAACAAGTAAACCAATATGGGATCTTTTTTTTTCCTAGATCAGTTGTGAAGAACAATGACAAATTATTTTAATACCCTAGGGTTACCTCCTGCAATTTGCCATTGCAGGAAAATACAATGTGATCCTGGATCCCTGGTGGGAAAGGTGTGTGTTTACATATAAATGTTTGTTTCTATGTATAGAGATGCAAGTGAGACTGTAAAATAACATGACTGATATTCTGTAATCTGAAGCACATCTAGGTACAATCTAATTTTCTCAGTTGAACGTAACAGAAACAGCGTGATCTTAACACATTCTTGAATGGATCCACTCTGATAACACCGCTTCCCCTCAAAAGTCTCTTACCTAGCCAATCCTTCTTCATAGAGATAGATAACAAGAGGATCATACGAAGTCACAAGCACGTACAGGCGCACATCGAACTTGAAATCTAGAAAAAAATAGGGGTTCATTTGTTTTCTGTTACAGAATGAACAAAGGCAATGTAACAAATAATAAAAGAAAGAACAGTCTTCCTCTCCCCACAAAAGACATACTGCCTATATGCCTTGCCTTTTAAGGATAAATAATTATGCATTTCATACATATATACAATATACACATACATTGAGATAGAGAGCTTACACACACACATATATATATATGTATATATATATACATACTGCACAGCTCTCACATATATGTAGTATAAAGCACTTTCTTTTCTCTTCTCTCATTTTATCTTCAAAATAATCCCATAAGGTAGGAAAGGCAACCATCCTCATCTCTAGAGCCACAGCTGTCAAGAATTTCACAGTAGCTTCATAAAGACTTAATAGAGAAGACGTGAAAATATTCTTTAAAATTAGCAAGATGGAGCCCAGTCCCATCAAGGACCCAATCTCAACTCACCGTCTATGAGCAGAGGGTTGTTAATGTAACGGGAGACCAGGATGTTCTCCTCCAGGGAAATCTGGTTTGGCTATAGAAAGAGAAAGAATAAAAGGACAGAAATCCTAACTCACAACAAGGGAGCAGAGTTCTTGACCTTTCAGAAACAATAAAGTGGAAAACTACCACTCTTAAGAAAGGTTTTCCTCCGGGACACCTGGGTGGCTCAGTCAGTTAAGTGTCTGCCTTCGGCTCATGATCCCAGGGTCCTGGGTCATGCCCCATATGGAATCCTGCATTGAGCACCCTGCTCAGCAGGGAGTCTGCCTTTCCCTCTGCCCCTCCTCACTGCTCATACTTTCTCTCTCTAATAAATAAAATCTTAAAAAAAAAAAAAAAAGAATAGTGCTTGATACTATTAAAGGTTTCCTCCAATCTACCCCTATATTCAACTGGTTATGTAACACCACTCATAAACACTATAGGTATCCAATTACAATGGGGGGGGGAATAAATTTACATACCACTTCTCACATAATAGAGAGAGCCCTACAATTTTAAAGATTTACATACATGATATTAAATAGTCACATGCCAAGAAAAAAAAGCTACTTAAAAAATAAATAAAAACATACTTCTCCCAAATGTAAAGTACGATGGAAATTTTAAATACTACCATTTTTCTTAAGCAAAGGCTTTCATCAAGTTGCTTATAGAGAATTTACAGATCTTTCCCCAATCCCCTGGCATTTCCCTTGAGAAACTGGATGGATGCTTCATTGATTCATTCAGTTGGACTTCCTATCCTACTATATATAAAGATTGAACAAGATCTTTTAAAGGATTTTTCAATGAAAAAAGAGTTGTTTATACAATAAATAATCATGAGTATTATTTGATACTGTATGAGGTACTGAGGACCAGTGATGAAGAAAACAGATACAATTCCTGCCTTCACAGAGCCTAATCCATACTTCCAAAGAGATTAATGTTTAGGAAAAGGGACAGCAAAATATAGAATTTAAAAGAACACAAAGCAGCATATCTGCAAGCGCAAGACTGAGATTGCACAGTAAAAGTGCAGGCCAGTTAGGTGGGATCAGTGGAGGAAGGCCTATTCTGGAAGTGTTGAAAGCTACTAAGCATATGGTGAAAAGGAAAGGAAGCTGTCATGGAAAGATGGCAGGCACAAAGTTCAATAGAAATGAGAGGAGGCAGATCACTGACCTGGGGCTAATGAAAGGTATGGTTAGAATATTAGGAGGGAGGGACCCCAAGGCAAAGGGACCTGTACCCTAGACAGGAGGAGTTTGGCCTGAACATGGTTCAGCAAGAAATGACTGGATTCTTAATAGTAAGATTTAAATATATGGAATAGCAAAACTCTAAACAAGATTAGAGTAAGACAGAAAAACCAGCTGGAAGTCACCGCAATCTATACCCACAGAAGGATTCCAAAAGGGAAGTGGCTATAATAGTAATTGTAATGATAATGGCTACATTATCAGCAACTTGTCCAGCACTGTTCTAATTCATCAAAGTATTTCCTTTAGTCCTCACCTAATCCTATGAGGTAGGTATATCATCATCCAAATATTACAGATGAGGAGAGAGTCAGAGAGGGTGACAGAGCAGCATTGGAACCAGCCAGTCAGCCTCAGAGGCTCAAATCTTAAAAGTACTATTCACATCTTTCCTCGAAGTTCTGATCTAAAATACTATCTCCCAAATTCAAAAGACTGTCTTTATAATAATGCATTTGCTACCCTAAACACTACAGTTACCGTAATTTTGTGGCCTGAAACACCATACACAACCACGATGACCAACTCCAGAGTCCAGATAAAGAGATTCCCCGCTCATCTCCCACTGTTGCATCATACGGAGCTGGAGACAGTCAGTGCTGATTCAGACTCATGGACCCAGTCGCCCACACCATTTCCGGACTCCCTCACATTTCTTGATCACTTTCTCACAAGTACTATCTCCATTTTGAGTCAGCTTTGTATGTAAGAAATGATGAGTCATAGTACAAAGGAGCAAGTCTCAGGCTGTGTTCCAAACCTAAAATTAAACAACTGCAGACCTCTTCCCACTGAGTAACACCTACAGGCCACAGTAGATACATGACCATTCAACTTTCCTCCAAACCAGAGACAACACTGCTGATGGCCATCACTACGTGACACATCTAAAGTCTTTGTCCACTTCCTTTCTCTCCTCCCGCATCATACACATTTGTCCCACGAGTTATGCATAATATTCCACATTACTTAACTTCAATATTTGTTCAATGGTTTGAGACTCTCTTTTCGACCTATATCAGGAATTAAATTGTAAGCTCATCAAAGAAAAGAATGGTTTGGGTATAGTTTCTCTGTATAGTGTTAAATACTAGGAAGCAACTAATGAAAGCTTCTTGATATTTTCAAGCCTACTTCCTCTTCATCATTCCCCAACTAACTCATTTCAAATGATTTCAATTCCAAGCTCACACTGCCCTCCAAAGTATGCTAAAGCAAAATCTAAATTGTTGGTAAAGCTGGAAACACAGTCATTTTTCTAATTGGACTTTAAAGCTCATGGTTAACTGTTAAGTTATTATAAGAAGGGATGGTACAGTTAATGGTGTTATGCTCTGGAATCAGCCAGACCTGAGTTATAATCTCGACTCTACCATTTACTACAGAAATAACAGTAACTACCTCATAGGGTTCTTCCAAAGATTGAGTTTATATTGGGAAGGTACAGTGATAGGCACACATTAAATGCTCAAGAAATATCAGTTATTATTCTTAGTGCAAACTTGATAGTACCTCTATGGTTCTACTACATTCTACAACTCAACTTCATCACGGCACACCATGTGCCATTCCACTAAGAGCTGCGCAGTAAGTTAAAATGAAGATACATTAGCTTAGTATCAGTGTTAGTATTAAGAGATAATCCGTATTCCTCAAAAGGTTTTAAGGAGTGGCAGCATCTGGCACATAGCAAGGCATCCCTAAATATTTTTTGAACGATGAGAAAAAATAGAGAGCTCTTAAGATAACAACATATAAGCAAATAGAAACAAGAGTACTAAAAAGAATTATACTCGCTCCTGCCTCCACCCCAGCCGGCCTGGGGCGGGGGCGGGGGGGGGGGAAGAAGAAGAAAAAAAAAAAGAATTATACTCACAAATATAGGGAGTAAATAGAGTGACCTAAATATTCTCCTGCTACTTCAACATCTCAAAGAAAACATTAATACTGTATTTACTGCGGATAATGTATGAGACAAAGATGACAAAATTTGATCTCCATAATCAAATTTGTACCTTTATCAGAAAATGCCAGATCTTTCCCTCCTCAACCTGAATACACGGAATTGGGAAAATACAGCACTTAGTCATGGTTACTGAAGGAGCTGGGACAAACACAAGGAGCTGGGAGAAACCATGTTAGCTGATCAGCCAAGATACTTCCGTCTATAGGAGCTCACACTTCTCTCTTTGGTATTTCATAAAAGTAACACTTTTTCTATCCTTTATCCTGCTCTTGTGATGGTAAAAGTTGCTATTTGTGGATATTTTCCAAAAGGTTATGACTATTATTGGGAATTTTTAATAAGAGGCCCTCTCCAGTGGGGAAGACAGAGAAAGATGTTCTCCTTTGGCCCTCACACCTAACTCCACCCACCCTATTAGTTCTGATCACCCACTCCTATTAGTCCCTCACCCACTCCTATTAGTTCTGCTCACAGACCCACTGCCTGAGCACTCCCTCCCAACCCCCCTCAACTTTATTTTTTTTCCCCCCTCAACTTTAAAAGGAAAGCAGGCAGCAGCCTTGGAAAGAGTTACTTCATCCAGTTGGCTAATAGGTCACATATTCCACGGGAAAGGATCCAGGTATGGAAAAGACAGGATGGTGAGGCCTTGTGTGTAAGGAAAGAGAGAAGAATATTAACTACATGGTTTGTAGGTCTGAGTAAAAGGTGATAAAATTCCAGTTTTTTGAGTGAAATGGGAATATTTTCCCATTATGTCCACATGCTGCCAGCTCCCCTGGTGCCTGCTGGCATCTTCCCAGGCTTCTGTCTGGCACCTCCACCAAATACCTCAAAGAATCAGACTCATTCCAAAGCTTCACTGAGGGGGAGGAGGGAAGCAAAGGGTCCTGCCAAGTACTTTGATCCACGCAGGGGGTCTCTAGGGATTCAGCCTAGGGAGAGGTGGGAGGGAGAAGGAAACCTTGCCAAACACATTCTCTAAAGACTTGTCACCCTCTTTATGAGACTCCATCCAGGGAAGAGTTAGAGCACTGGGTTCTCAGCCCCACCAAGGAAAATTTAACTTTTGTATTCTTTATGATGTTGGTTTCAAAATAACAAATCACTAGAGCAAAAGTGCATTCCAAAAGAAAAAAGTCCTAGATGAGCTGGAAATAGATCCTATTCTTTTTGACTCATGTCTAAGAAAATAAAAAGCAAACTTGTACCACACAGTTGACTTCCAATAGCAATTCCATTTGGCAGCTCAAACTCAAACCCAAACTAGTGCCGTCTATGAGATTCAAACAACACTGGAGCTCCGGGCATGGAGCTGAAGGAAAAGCTGTCACACAGGAGCCTTCACGCCAAGGTCAGAACAGAAACAAGAAAACAGAGATCCAAAGCATCTGACCAGAGCCTTCTGTCACAAGAGACTCAGGGCAAAAGGCCTCCAGAGTGACCCAGGGCCAGGTAACAGGACTTTTAGCCTGGGTCTCAGGCTGGAGTAGCTGCTGTGTCAGAATGAGATTCTGTAAGGTCTGGCCATCAGTATATCTCGAACAGTTTTTAGTCCAGACTGAATTTAAGAATTTCTCAATGTGAAAGACCTCTCAGAAAGTTCATTTCTACACGTGTAGGAAATAGCTCAGACCATGTAAAAAGAGAATTAGGGAATTTTAAAATACTTGACCACACACACACACCTACCTACTTCCTCTTCTTCCTTTCCAGAGTCCCATTGGAAGGACAGAGAAGATATTTTTAAAAGAATGAAATGACAACAAGGTTAGAAAACATTTAAAAGGACCCAGGAAGAGACCAAAAGTTGAAGGAAATCCTGAAGGATAGAAAGCAGATGGGATCAGGTTGAGAAAACAGAGCAGAGGAAGCAAAATATCAGAGGTGAGAACGATCTTCTCAAGGAGCCTCTGAGAAGTTCCAAGCTGGCAGTAAACAAACATGAAAAGTAGGACTAGGCCAAGGAACAAGAATCAGATAACTAATTCTTAATTAATTCTGTGGGCCTCCTCCAACACCCAAAGCTTTGCCCTGGGGATAAAACCTAACGATACTACTCTGAGGAGGACATCATGTGGGGGCACAGAAATCTGACAGAAGAGTGGACTTTGAGGCCACTCTATCCCTACAATGGACCCAGAGAGGAAAAGACAGGAAAGGTAGTGCTGCCCAGAAGGGAAATCACCAAAATCTTCCTATTCCTCTGCATTCACAATAAAGCCTGCTCTATTTTGACTGGGGCGGCGGGGGGAGGGGGGGGTGCAGGGATGCAGGAAGAAGCTTGCTTCTCACTCACATCCACCTGAGGTGCAGGCTGTCAGTCAACACACTCTGCCTTCGCACAAAACTGAGTTAGCCGTCTGTCCAGGGAGCAACTACTAGGGAATAAGTCCTATACAACAGTACCTGAAACCCAGGCCAGATGTCTATTTCAATCAGTCTAGTCTTTCCTTCACAAATACACCCAAGGTCACACTGAAACTGAGAAAATCCAAAAACTGAGGGGAAAGAAAGACAATCCCAAGAAAGTTCAAAAAACAGAAGAGAACTTTTAAAAGACTTTCAACTGATATCCTAAGGCCAATAGATAAACTGCATCCATAATCCATTAAGCAACAACAGGCTTTTTTTTAAATAAAAAAATTAAAAAAAAAAAAAGACAAATCAGAAACTCAGGATTTCTACAAACTATGATAGCCAAGGGAGAAAAACAGTAGATAAAATGAATATTAAAATGAATAAAGAGAAAAAAAATGAATAAAGATTGGCACCTGGGTGGCTCAGTGGTTGAGGGTCTGCCTTTGGCTCAGATCATGATCCCAGTTCCTGGGATCAAGTTCCACCTCGGACTCCCCACAGGGAGCCTGCTTCTCCCTCTGCCTATGTCTCTGCCTCTTTCTCTCTCTCTCTCTCATGAATAAATAAAATCTTAAAAAAAAATGGATAAAGTTCAAACTGGTGATCCAGAAATATCAAGATGGAGGAAAGCAGAGAATTTAAAATCAGAGAAAAGTTGACATAAAGATCAAGAATGCCTCAAAAAAGAGATCTAAAAGCAGAAATAAAGGCAAGAAATGGATCATTTTCCCTGAACCAAAGAAAAAAATACTAGTTTCCAGACTAAAAGGGCTGACCAAATGTCCAGGAGTAAGAATGAGAAAAGACCCAGAGTGAAATACTGGTTCGATTTCAGAATTCCAGGGGCAACTGGCTGGCTCAGTTGGAGGAGCATGTGACTCTCTGTCTCGAGGTTGTGATTTCAATTTCCAAATTGGGTGTAGAGATTACATAAATGAGTAAAACTTAAAAAAAAAAAAAATCAGAATTCCAATGCCGCGAAGTTACTATTGGGTTTGAATTTTTTACTCACTTAAAGCAGAGAAATGGAATCACAGTTATTAAAGAAAGTGTAATTTTATAAACCTTTAAAATATAAAAATAATAAAAAGTAATCAAATTTAGACCTGGAATGGGGAAGGGAGGGCAAAAGATGATGTTACTACAACATACATCAAACTGGGAATAAACAAACACAATGTAAAGTTAAGAAAAGAAACATAAATCAACTATATTAGGTTACAAACTACTATTAAAAGTCTAGGAAGTGAGACTAGGATTGAGATTTTATTTTACTCTCTATGTGTGTTCAACTTACAACTTTTAGTGAGGAATTTGCAAAGAATCAAGATACTGATGACTTTCAAAAAAAAAAAAGAAGGGGATGAGGAGGAAAAAGAAAAAGGAGAGATACGTAGAAATAGCATCAAGGATGCCATATCAAACTGAGATTAATTTCCTCAATGATCTCAAGGGCAGGAACCCACAATTCTGCTCACAACAGAAACTAAATGTGTATGCTACCAATTAGTGCTTAGCACTGAGGAATTCCATGATAATATGCCACAAGTAGAAAAGGAACCTCTTTTCTGCTGACACCAAAGGCTGCTCTTCTGTAACATTTGATCAAGTGACTTTTTAGCCACAAAATAGCTGCTGGCATAAGAAGAGGTTACTGCCAGTAAGGTGAATAGTAGCCAACTCATACCCACCCTCAACTTATATGTCTGAATGCAGATTTCAGAAAGGAGCACATACTCTTAACAAACAAACAAAAAAAAAAAAAATTCCATCAGTAGCTGGGACAAAAGCCGAAAAGGGGAAGAACCAGTAAGAGAGGGTACCGGGCTGGCTCAGTCAGTGGAGCATGTGACTCCTGATCTTGGAATCATGAGTTCAAGCCCTGTACTGGGTATAAAGTTTACTTTAAAAAAGAAAAAAGAAGGGCAGCCCCAGTGGCGCAGTGGTTTGGCGCCGCCTGCAGCCTGGGGTGTGATCCTGGAGACCTGGGATCGAATCCCACATCAGGCTACCTGCATGAAGCCTGCTTCTCCCTCTGCCTGTGTCTCTGCCTCTCTCTCCCTCTGTGTCTCTCATGAATAAATAAAATCTTAAAAAAAAAAAAGAAGAAGAAGAAAAAGAGGAAGAAGAAAAGAGGGTGCCCCCTGCTGCATACTTACATTGTTGATCAGGTACACACCCCGCCCCCTAGAAGAGGCCACTGGTTTTACTATCCAAGGTCCCCGGTCCTTTGAATATGAATCTGCTCAAAATATTGGGAGATTAAAAGGGGCAGAGAGAGAAACAAGAGAAAGAAAGGACAAGAGTTTATTTCTTAAATTTCAACAATGGTTATCCACTCAGATACCCAAAGAATCTTCCATATTTCCAAGTGGAGGGCAGCACAGCTAAAATACCTGTATTTTTGAACTAGCTTCAAAAACGGACACAAAAACAGAGGGGGCAGTAAAATTACACATTTCTTCCACCATTTCCTCTCCTTCTTGAATGAGGAAGAAAACAAAACAAGGCAACTCTCTAATGTTAGTCTCTTACTATCACAAATAGCTTTCGGGAATCCTGAGATTCCGGCCTCTGTCAACCAAAGGACCTCCAGAGACTCACGCTGCAGACAGTACCAATGAGAGTCGATCACTAGGATCGCCGGGAATGATAACTTTCCTTAAGTGATTTCTCTTAGCTTGTAGGAAAAAAATTGCCCTAAGTCAAACTGTACGTAAGTGGTGCAGGAGGACAGTAATTTACAAGTGATTAAAAGGTGCCCTTTACTTTTTTTTTTTTGTACAATATAGTGATTCAATATTTATATATATTATGAAATGGCATGAGTACATTTACCTTCTGTCATCACACAGAGATATTACAGTATCATTGACTGTATTCCCTATGCTGTACTTTTTATCTCCGTGGCTTATAACTAGAAGTTTGTACTTCTTAATTCCCTTACCTGTCCCGCCCCCCCTCCCTCCCACCACCGCCTCCCCTCTGACAACCACCAGTGTGTTCTCCATATTGAGGAGTCTTTTCATTTTTGCTTATCTGTTTGTCTTGTTTTTCATGATTCCTCATAAAAATGAAATCACATGGTATTCATCTTTCTCTGTCTGACCTATTTCACTTAGGACAGTACCCTCTAGGCCTGTCCATGTTGTTATGAAAGGCACGATTTCATTCTTTTTCTGCATGAATATCCCATTGTGTATATATACCGCATCTTTATCCCTTAGCTATCAATGGACACTTAGGTTGCTTCCAGATTTTGGCTACTGTAAATCCTGCAGCAATAAGCACAAGACTGCATCTATCTTTTTAAATTAGTGTTTTCATTTTCTTCCGGTAAATACTAAGAAGTGAATTTGCTGGGTCATATGATCTTTCTATTTCAATTTTCCCAGGAACCTCCACACTGTTTTCCACAGTGGCTGCACCAATTCACTTTCCCGCTAATAGCACACAAGGGCTCCCTCTTCTCCACATCCTCGCCAATACTTGTCACTTCTTGTCTTTTTGATACTAGACATTCTGCCAGGTGTGATGTGACACCTCACTGTGGTTTTGATTTGCATTTCCCTGATGATGAGTGATATTGAGCATCTTTCCACAAGTCTGCTCTTAATTTAACCTTCTCCTGTCTCTTCTGGGAACCCATTCACTTGCTCGTATCTTCACGCTTGCTCTCCTCCCTGGGGGGCTGCTTCTCTTTTTCTCTCCTTATAATCACATCTACCCCCATATCTGCAATTTCCAGAATCTATTACCTTTGGCCAGAACTCAACCCTGCCTTTACAACTGCTTGCAAATCCCCACATGGAAGCCTGTAGGCCTCTCAAATTCATATTCCTCAGTCCCAAATTTCACCCCCCTCATCCCTTTTAATAGCTTTTCCTTCATGGTCCTGGTTACACTCCCTGGTTAAAGACAAAAAGATGTGCTGATACTCCTAGTGTCTCATATTCCCACCTCTGGAACCATCTTTGACCCTTACCTCACTACTCACAGCCAGCTGGTACACTCTGTTTATCTGACCACTCTCTCCACTCTTTTCCATTTCAACTATCTAGTTCAGTCCAACTACATTTCTTATCTAGATTATTGCAATACCCTTCCAAGGACCACTGTGCCCTTCTCCTTGTTCCAATTCAATTCACACAGTTATTTTTTTAAAAGCTAACCTATTTGTGTCCCTTTCTTTCTCAAAAATTGATCACCCACACTCAAGTGAGCAATGGAGCAGCAGGAATGCAAGAGGCATGGAAAAAAATGGAATTTCTGGGTTATACTATGCAAGGTGGACACCAAAGGAGAAGAACTTAAAACAGACTTTATGAAGAAGAGGAAATGTCCCACCTTGTAAGTCACAAAAGTCCAGAAATCAAGGTGACAGGAATAGTCCTTAAATGGCAAAAACAAAAACAAAAAACAAAAAAACCACAGAGCCAAAAAGGAAGCATACATAGTTCAAATGCAGAAGTATCTACATCCTTACATAGGCATTAATTCTTGCCAGTGAAGAGACTTTTTTGTACCAGACAGGGGCACCAGTGTATGACACCAATATGTCTTTCTAGAAATGATGGTGACAAGTTTACTACAAATAAATATACATGGACACAATCAGGAAAAAAAAAAGTTTTAAAGTTAATATCTCCAGCTGTTTACTAAAACACTAAAAAGTGTTTTACACTTTTTTAAGGATTTGAAAAGCTCTAATTAGTTACTGTCTGGAGGGAGCCTTTGGAGTTCAGTTGCAGAGGATCAGGGTGTTCGTAGCCAAGCACTTACTACAGAATTCCGCATACTCGGCTGGCAGAAGGAAAGTCTGAGGGAGGATGTGAAAAGCCTTGAATCCATGCGTATGCTGCATTCGAATGATGTTTTTATATAGTCGGTCTTTACGGGTTAGTTCATAGGACCTAAAAATCATAAAAGTTTTTCCATCTCAGTAAAGTCTGACTCCAAGGTTTTTCTGTGTAATCATATACTACAGAATTCATAAATCACAGAGCTGGAACACATACTGAGGACAGCATTACATCTCAGATCGACCACTTTGTCAGCCCCAAAAGTTTAGTAATCATTTTCATAAAATAGAGGTCTTTGGTCAGCTTTATTCATTAAGGTATAACTGACATACAGGAAGATTTGCCCTTTTTAGTGTCTCATTCTATGAGTTTGAACAAACATACGCAATTATGTAATTGCGACCAGAACAATTCCAACATTCCAAAAAGTTACCTGGAGTCCCTTTGGAGTCAACTCTTCCAATCACTGCCAGGCCTTGGCATTCCTGTTTCCTGTCCCTATAATTTAGCCCTTTCCAGAAAGTCAAGTTCATTGAATCACATACATGTGTCCTTTTGAGACAGTGGCTTCTTTCCCTGAGACTTGCAACAACGGATGTACACTCCTGTTGTTGCCTGCATCAGGATTTCGTTCCTTTTTATGGCTCAGGAGTAATTCATTGCTGTATAGACTGCAGTTTCTTTATCCATTTACCAGTTAGACACATAAGCGGTTTCCAATTTTTGAAGATTATGAATAAAATCACTAAAAGCATTTACATACAGACTTCAGTAAGGCCTAAGTTTTTGTGTGGATTTAAGTTTCCATCTCCTTAGGGATGAGACTGCCAGGTTCAGTAAGATTGTTTAGTGAGTTCTACTAGTTATCTATTGCTGCATTATAGATTACTGCCAAGGGCACCCAGGTGGCTCAGTCGGTTAAGCATCTGCCTTTGGCTGAGGCCATGATCCCAGGGTCCTGGGATCGAATCCCACATCGGGCTCCCCTGGTCATAAAGTAGTCTGCTTTTCCCTCTGCCCCTCCCCCCTGCTTGTGCTCTCTTGCACGTTCTCTGTCTCTCTCTCTCTCTCTCTCTCAAATAAATAAGTCTTTTTAAAAAATAATAAATTACTGCCAAAATATGAGCTCAAATCAATGATAAAGTTTTTCTATCTTATAGTTTCTGTGAGTCAGGAATGTGGGGGTAGCAGGGCTGGATAGTTCTGTCCCGTGGTCTCTTGTGAAGCTACAATCAAGATGTTGACCAGGGCTGTGGTCATCAGGCTCCACTGGGGCTGAAGGACCCACTTGACAAATGGCTCTCTCACGTGGGGCTGGTGTTGGCAGGAAGCCTCAGTTCCTTCCCATGTGAATTCTCCTGTAATGCTGACTGAGTGTCTACATGACATTCTGCTAGGTTAGGTGACTGAAACTGGAAATGCAACAAGAAAGAAGCTACAACGCCTTTAAGGACCTACTCTCAGAAGTGACACACAGTCACTTCTGCCACATTCTATTCATTAGAAGTCACAAAGGCCAACTCACACCCAAAGATAGAGAAATTAAGCTCACGTTTTTGAAGGCAGTATCAAGGAATTTGTGGACATATTTTAAGACCAACACATATGTAAGTATATATTTAACTTTATAAGCAACTGCCAGACTATTATCCGAAGTGGCTGAATCCTTGTGCATCTCCCACTGCTTCCTGAAGTGTCAGCTTTCCCATTGCACTGCATCCTGACCAGCACTTGGTGTTTGCTGTCTGCTTTCTCTGTTCTGTTTTTAGCCATTCCAACAGGTAGGTAGTAGTACCACATGAGTTCTTCTAGGACTTTTACAGTTTTAGGTCTTACACTTAATTTAAATCTGATTCTTTTTGCCAAGTGCGTTTTCATGGAGTTTGTGACTATAAAATATATTTTAAAACCGACTTCAAATATAAACAAACAAAAAAGAGAGCATTCTAAGTTTGACTTTTGATAAATATATTCAAATTTTTAAGGTCCAGAAACCAAATACATCAATAAATTCTAGCTTCAGGAGTAGCCTGTAGCTACTAAAAATCATTATGAAACATCTTAGGAACACTACGTGTTGTATGTTAACTGAATCATAATTCTTTAATAGTACCCCAAAAAATCTAGATTACCCAAATAAAGAAAAAACACTAGTGCCCCCACTAACGAGTTCCAAACCCAAAGCATTCTGGGAATTTTTACACAAAGATATCTAGGGGATCTTACCTTCTGAGAAACGTGGCCTGAACAAAGGTTAGCATACTTGAAAATAGGACCGTTCAAGAAAATAAAAGATGTGGCTACCTTATCCATATTTATAGGCCTAATGTCACAACAATAATTGTCCAATTTCTCATATAACTACACAGAACTTGCATCATCATCAGTGATAATATGTTTCTCCTACATAGTATCCAAGACAGACCTTAATTTTAGACAATAATGAGCCTACTAAAGTCCTAGATCACTAACTTAAGGATCCCACTGAAAACTCAATTTGCATCATTAAGAGATGGATATGTGAGAGAAAATTTTAAAGAAAAACAAGGAAATAGTCATAAACCTTGGAGAATAACTGCCACCTATCAGGGAGTATATTCTGGAGTACTACAAACAGTCCAAAAGTTAGCCTCTGGACTCATGAGTTCCACTACTGGTTTCCAGTCATGATTTGTCCCACTATTTAAAAACCATCTAAGAATTTTGCTGTAACCACTAAAAACTTACTGTATCTGTTCTTTGGTTCTAATTTTTCACTGTGATTTCTTAAATTCAAAAGGTGGCTTTGACAAGTCTAGGTATCACAAACATTGCTTTCTTGCCCACTGTCCTCCTCATAAGTGTAGAGCAGAGGTCTTTAAATTTTAGATAAGACTCATCTAGAAAGTTTCTTTAAAATTATTGTTCCTGGGCTCCATTCTCAAAGTTCTGGGATAAAGTCTAGGATTCTGTATTTTATACAAGTGTCCCAGGTGACTTTGGTACAGATGGTCCACACCGGAATATAGATTTAGCCTAGAACACTAATTTCCAAAATTCCAAAATCACCTCAGTGCTTCTTAAATACACAGCTTTCTAGGTATATACAGACCCAGAAAAATTAAGCACCTAGAAGGTACTTTATACATATATACCTTCCCTGGATATGGTGATTCCATGAATCTGCAATGGGATCTGTAAATGTGTATTTTTTAAAAAGTATCTGCAGTGATGTTTATCATCACTTAGTAACAATGACAAAAGGACAAGAAAAAGATTGCATTCTCCTAGAGATGCCCAATTCTAGTGGTCTCCAAATCCTTTTGCTTGATGCCCCCCATACAGATTTTGAGAAACCATGTATCCTTTAGTTGGCATCTCAGATTTTTCATGAAGAACTTACATTGCCCCAAATAGACCAATGAGTGATAAATATTATTTTAAAATAAAACCGTAACACTACCCTTTTAAGTATATTCAAAGGAACCTAAATAACATCAGGATTAACTGCCACTATACATTTTTAAAATTTTATTAAAGAGAAAAACTGTTTTCTATCAGTAAATTTTTCACTTACTAAAATACACTCTTTACTGCAGGTAATACATATGCAGAGAAGTATAAAAAATCATAAATGCAAAGTATGATAAATTTTGGCCACCTGTGTAAGCACCACTCAGACTGAGTATAGAACATTCCCAGCACCTCAGAGGCCTCCTTCATACTCCTACCCAGGAATTATCCCCAATCACCCTTGCTATTACTTCTTTCATGCCATTTCCCACAAAGAATGGCTTAGACCCATAGAACATATTTAATGCTTGGAGGTCTTCTATATCATAGCATACCTTCTCTACAACAAAATATGCATGTGAATTAATATGCATTATTTTCAAATTTCCTGTGATCATTCAGCTATAAACTACTTTATAGTGGACTATCATTGCAACTCTTGTAGTACAAAATTCATCAAAACACCATAAATGTTATAAATTTTGATTAAAATTACAACAGTGTTAGAGTCTCCATTTTGATAATTATACCGCAGTTATAACTGATGTTAATGTTAGAAGAATGAGATAAAGGATACAGAATAACTTTAGTATTTTTGCAACTTTTCTAGAAGTCTAAAATTACTTAAAAGTTAAAAAGTTATATTAGTTATATTAAGAAAGAGTTCACAACAATATTAAAAACATTTTAAGTGCGTGAATTCCTCTTGCATGTGAGTTCGAGTCTTTAGAATGAAAACATGAGAAATAGCAGCAGAAGCCACCAAGCATAGTGCATTTATATAATGAACTATTTATGTGCTTGAACATGCAAGAATAATACATTCAAGAAGCACTCAAGAAAAAATTGGATTGAATTTATTAATACCGTTTGAGTCTAAACTGAGATAGAATTCCAATATACCTACAGGAGTATTTCTAAAACTATTAAAATAAATAATATACTACTAACATGAATTTGGAATGCAGACTCTAGTGTAGGCTATTTCAAGGACTCTTAAATGCCTATTTAAAATAGATACATATGATTCATTTCAATCATCCAGTCACACATTTAGAATACCAAATCAATACCACAATAAGGAAGAAAATGAGGTTTAAACTACTCTCTACGAATGAAGCTGAGACATCAAATAAAACTGGAACTTGTTATGAAGACCTTTCAAAACACAAATTTATCCCAGATTATGAAGAAACTATTTGACACAGGCCTGGTACTTACACACAATGATAAGATATAAAACAACAGAATTGAAAAAAATTAAGAAAGAAATTTCATTATATAAAAATAAGAAAAGAAAATAAGGTAATAAATAAAAATAAAATTTGTTAGCATAAGTACATAAAGACATTATGAAGGACGTAAGTCCTCTAAATAAAACATAATCACCGACCAAATAAAAAAATTTGCATTGAATTTCCTTCTCTTCATTAGATGAGATTTGTTTCCCTCATTTCTATATGGTCATCTATCTCTCCATGGTTGAATATGACTGCCAAAATAAGGTAGGATTACAGCATCAATTTCATTTCTATTTTCTTTTTCACAGATGAAAACACTAAAAAACTCTGGTCACAAAAACAATAGCTAACACTTCTACAGAGTTTACTATGTGAGAGGCATGCACTGTTCTAAACATCTTAGATCCTGATAGATTAAATTCTCACAACAGTTACCAAAGTCATTCAGCAAAGCTGGGATCTAGGCCCAGGTAATGGTTTACAGAGCCTATGCTTCTAGCCACCAGGCAGTATTGCCTCTATGCTGCCATTAACAATGTGACTGGAATGAGTTTTCTATAGCAATGGCAGTCAATTCTTTGAACTCCTTCCTAATTCTGTGTCAGAAGTCACAAGATGATCGATCATTAAAATTAAAATTAATGGTCTATCAGCTGGTAATTTGATCAGGTCCTCTTTTAATTCCATTAAAAGTAAAGAAATGGAAATCGCCATCATGATGGTCATTACTGGTCATTTGTCATTACCAGAATTCAAACCAACATCATTTTTTATGTACTTTTGTTTAGAATCCTGGAAGTGTTTGTACCCAAGGACAATGCATCAAATTAAGATTCTAAAAGGGGAAACAGTAACTGTGAAAAAAGGAGGTGAGAAGGGAGTACCTATCCACATGAGGGGCTCTCAACCTACCCAATTTCAGGAGAGAAAAACTATGGGATTTGCAATCTAGAAACAGTCTCCTTTAGAACCATCCATGTCTACAGTCCTTAGAAAGACTTCATATAACATATACTTATGGATGTTGACATCTCAGTTTGATTTACAGACTGCTGCCCTATATCACAGACTTCTTTTTTTAAGGACATTAATTACCTCTACCTGCCCAATGTTAGGCACCTTTAAATGGAGCAAAGGAGCTACAGGAGCATTACCTGGGAAAGTGATTAACCTTTTGTGCTTCAGAGAGGGTGCGAAGTAAGAAGGGCTTCAGGTGGGATCCTGTCCACATTAGGTTATAGTCAGTGCTGCTTGGGTGAACCTGAGGGCAGATAAAAAGAAAAAAAAAAAAAGTGTCAGAGATAGCCTCTCTCCAGAAACAGAGACAGCAAGAAAGGCCATAGAGATTTTTCACCTACAGAACACAGTCAGTGCCCAGTTAGTATGTAAACCTAGTAAAATAAAAGCTGAGGATAAAGAACATGAAGATGACCAAGTTTAAAGAATGGGACAGTTGGGCAAATCCCAGATGCATAAAATAGAACAAATGAACCTTTCTATAGAAGTCTGTGATATCTTTTAACATTCTTGCATATCAAAGTATGAGAAGAGGGCTCAACCCCACAACTCCCTTCTCAAAGTGTCCTTATGTCCCTGCAGATGATGGGTATAAAGTACTGATCAGAACTAAAACCTTGTGGTAGCAAACCGACTTAGAATATCACTCATTCATAAGAATTCATCTGTCTATTCATCCAGTAACTACATACTCGGGGCTTACAATGTGATACATTACCATCTTAAGCCCTGGAGATAAAAAGCAAGAAAGTGTATAAACTAGTATCAGAACTTCCTCAAAATGTCTACTTCAAACCTCAACCTAAGATAAAAAGCTAGCAACCAGACTTTTATCAATTATTTCAAAATATCTATAGTGTAGTCTGTCTAGCATTTTTTTCTTGTCCCTTTGATATCAATATCACAATTTCCTCAATTTTCTTTGGGAATAACATACTACTTGGGTTTATTTTTTTTAAAAGATTTTATTTATTTATGAGAGAGAGAGAGGCAGGCAGAGACACAGGCAGAGGGAGAAGCAGGCTCCATGCAGGAAGCCCGATGTGGGACTCAATCCCGGGTCTCCAGGATCACACCCTGGGCTGAAGGCGGTGCTAAACCGCTGAGCCACCCGGACTGCCCATACTACTTGGTTTTAAAAGACTGTCAATAACATTCCTCACCCTATCACCCTATCCCCTGGTCCCGGGCAAGGAGTAGATCCTGACCCAAGCTGGACCAGTCACACTATCCCCAGAATATGATTCTTCAGTGAAGAATAGCACAAGGACAATGAATCAATGAACAGAGTTAAGTCACTTCTATAGCAGTACCTTGAAGAGACAGTCCTGATTCCTGTTCCCAGATCCCCAGAACTGTCCCAGGCTCTCTCCTTCCAAAGGCCTGCCTTTTCAGCTCTTCTTTGATTCTGCTACCTATTCTATGTGTAACTGACCCACAAATCCTTTTTGGTTTAAGTTAGGTAGAATCTGTTTCTGTTGCTTGCAATCAAAGAAGACAATTCTTTATGGGCAACTCTGTCTCTACCACAATCTTCAAATCATAGCAAGAAAAATGTTTGGGGTTTTTTTTGTTTAAAACAGAAAGGGGAGAGAGAGTGAGAAAGGGGGAGAGGGAGAGGGATCTTGTAAAAATGTTTTCCATGTATTTTAAGGAGAAACTGATAAAGTCACTCAGAAATTCAATGAAAGCTCTACATTATCATAGATCCCATGTACCTTCTAGAGCTGCCCTGTTAACTGGTAGTCAGGTAGGTGGCTAGGATTTTCAGCTTTAGAGCAGATCAGGTGAGATAGTAAAAATGAGCTTACTTCATGAAATCCATGGGCTGTCAGAATGCTGCGTACCAGGCGACTATCCGTTCGCACAATTTTGTAAGACAAATGATAACGTTCTAAAGAAAAACACAATCAAATTCAGTAACCAGAAAGTTAACTGTAGAGACAAAAATAAACTGTAAGATGGTGGCTTGCTTAATTATACTCAAGAACATATACTGCTACCCTTATGCTACTATAGGCAGGCTGCAGATTATCTTGGACCAAGGGTTCTTAATGTGAGATTCACTGAGGGTTATTAAATCTGGATGAGGGACAAAATATCTTTGTTTTCACTACTAGTTGAAATTGAACATTACCTTCAATTATGAATGTAGACACAAAGCAGAACAGTGCTAGCAATTCCTGTGACCCTAACACCCATAGATACCAGGTATTTTAATATTATTTTACAATTGTTACAGTTATCTCAAAATATCACTTCTCACAGCATTTAAAAGTTATTGTTAGTTAACAGACCTTCCACTAAATCATGTTATTTAATGCACTAATAAAAATGCATACATGTCACACATTTAGTTTTTAAGAAATATTTTAATAATTGTATTTCAATACAATTGATTTTGTTTTTAACCCTCTCTATATTTTTTATACACTTAAAACACATTATTCTGAGAACAGACCCATAGGCTTCCCCACACTGCCACTGCACATTTGGTACACTGCAGAAAAAGGTTAAGAATCCCTGCTCTAGATAGCCCTCTGTGTGCAATGATGCTGGTTACCAGTGTATCTTAGACCAGAGGTTATAAACTGATGATCCAGGGACACCACCAATCTGCAGATATAGTTTGTTAATTTCTCATTGTGATTTAAAAATAAAATTGAATTAACAACCTTTTGAAATTGGAGGAATTCATATAAAAACCTAGATTTCTGGGCCTCTCTTGAAAACCCTGGCAACTCTGGGCTTGCTCTCTCTGCCAGGGCAAGAGTCAATGGGAGAAGCACAAGTGCTCCCTTTGGGGTGGGCTCACAGGCTCTGTGGTCAGCACAGTCCCTTCACTCAGTGACATTTCGGGTCAGGCCCTGAAAGCATAGTGACCCCTAAGACAAAAGTCTGTCATGTGATATTTCTATATATCCCCAAAGACTAACATTTACTCTAGCCCATTAAATGTAATCTCTTTCTATATATCACTACAAATTGTTTGAAAAAATTAGTCAAGAATTCCACAGAACAGGGATCCCTGGGTGGCGCAGCGGTTTGGCGCCTGCCTTTGGCCCAGGGCGTGATCCTGGAGACCCGGGATCGAATCCCACGTCAGGCTCCCAGTGCATGGAGCCTGCTTCTCCCTCTGCCTATGTCTCTGCCTCTCTCTCTCTCTCTCTCTCTCTCTGTATGACTATCATAAATAAATAATAATAAAAAAAATAAAAAAAAAGAATTCCACAGAACAATTATTTTTTAATTTTTTTAAATTAAGTAATCTCTTTGCCCAATGTGGGGCTCAAACTCATAACCCTGAGATCAAGAGTCACATACTCCACCAACTGAGCCAGCCAGGTGCCCCATCTGCAGAACAAATTTTTTAAAGGGCTGCATATTGAACACTTTCTGAATGAGAAGAATAAGGAAATGATGGACAGGCCTTAGAACAAAATTCAGCCTCTACGAAGATAAGCGTACCTTTTTATGAATTCATATGAAAATATCCATAAATCCCTGCTGCTACTTGCCCAGCCCTGGCAGGAACCCCATGCAAAGCAGACACACAGGAAGACTGGAATGAAAAGGCCAGACACTCCATACTTCTCATTCTTGTGGCAAACATCGAAAGCCCAGTTACAGGGTTTCCCCAATGATGAATTACTATTATGTTGCCTTTGCAATACTGTTGTAAGAAAAAGACTTCAGAGCCCTATGTGTTCATTGTAGTGCACAGTATAATTTAAGAAACAGTACAGTGCACTGCTTAAGAGTTTGTCTTCTGACTCCAAGTTGTAGAGGGAGAGCACAGGAAAGGCCTGGACCATCTCGTTAACACCAAAAAAGAGAAAAGTGCTCCAAAACTGATTGGAAATATGTCACAGGGGTCTCAATGGCCAAATTTAAGAGAACTTCAACATAAAAATGAATATGACCGAGAAAAACTATGATTCACTTACAAAAAAAAAAAAAAAAAAGAATCCATGAGTTCACACTGATTAAGAAGGTAAAAGGTATACTGGTTTTCTATCACTGCTAAAATAAACTACCATATATTCGGTGGCTTGACCAACACAAATCCACTGTCTGATAGTTCTGTAGGTAAGGAGTCTGACACAAGTGTCATCAAGGAAAGAGCAGGGCTGCATTCCTTTCTATAGGCCCTGGACAGGGTCCATTTTTTTTCCTTTCTCAGCTTCTGGAGGCTGCCCCCATTCCATGGCTTATAGCCTCCTTCGTCTATCTTCAAAACCAGCAATGGCAGGTCTAGTCTTTCTCACATAGCATCAACCTGACTCTTTCTGCCTCCTCCTACTTTGAAGAACCCTCATGATTAAGGTCAGCTGATTAGCAACCTTAATCCTACCTACAACCTCAATTTTCCATTGCCATGTCAGATAACATTTTCACAGGTTCTGGGGATGAGGAGGAGGTAGATAAATTTATGGGGACCATATTTCTGTCTCCTATAGAGGAAAAAGCTCTTCTTTACAGCAAATCCAGCTAATAAATGTAGAAGGAAAGAAACATAAAATCAGTATTTTACAAAAATCATAAGAGAAAGTAGTTCAGACTAAAATCAATGGATACCAATGGGTGAGGATATTCATGTATCTCAAAACATCACTCCAGAGAAAGCTTGTAACAAAGGAGAAAAGCACTCCTCCAATGAAGCAATCTGGTGAACACTATCTCAACCAAATCACAAAATCTGCCATCACCAATAATGCAACACAATGACATCACATCCTTCCTAATGTGGTACAATGAGGACACAACTGCACTAAGGGATAGCGCTACAAAATTTTTAAACCTGAATCTAAACACGTGGAAACAAGCAGACAAGCCCAAACTTAAGGACATCTGCAGAGCAACTTGTCTGAAAATCTCTAAAAAATGACAGTGCTGTAAGAGATACACACACACACATACACACACTCACAAAGTGTCGAAGATTTGAAGAGAAATACGAAAATTAAATACAATCTTTGATCTGGTCCTAGATTTTAGAAAAATAGTAACAGATATAAAAGTCAAAACTAGAACAACTAGGGAAATGTGCATAAGCAATGTATACCGCATAGAATATTTTACCAATGTCAGATTTCCTGAGTGTCACCTCAGTACTATGGTTATACAGAGGATGCCCTTGTGCTTAGGTGACACACTGCTGAATAAAGCATTAAGGTATAAAGTATTTGAACTAATTCTCAAATGGTTCAGAGAGAAAAGAAACATGACAAAGCATTAACAATTGATGAGCACAAGGAAAGAGTATTACATTCATTCAATGAAGCTATTATCATAGCTTGTCAAAAGGTTTTTAATTTTTTTAGATTCAATGTTTAGAAAGTGAAAGAAAATCAGGTCTCTTCATTATGATAACTGTGATCACTGACATCTCCATTTCTGTACATGTCAAAGAATCATCCACGCTGGAGACCAGAAGTATGCCTGATTCCATGCCTGTTCTGCAATGCTCACCTCTCAGTGTCCAAGCCATGGGGAAGGTAGTCACTAAGGCATACAGAAAAACAGAATGACTATCTGGGGACTGGGGAGGAAGGGGAAATGATAAGAGAAAGAGTAGATCTCTGGAGTGGAACTACCAAGGGTTCACATCCTGGCTCTACCACTTCCTGCCTGTAATCGTGAATAAATTATTTCTCTACGGTCAATTCCCCACATGTCAAATGGGGTTGATAATAAAAGTACTCAACTCATGGGGTAGCACTAAATCATTTAATACACATAAAACTTTTAGAACATTTGTTGTTACACGGTAAAAAAAATATATTTTTAATAGTAAAAAAGTAAATTATGTAGTAAAATAGCTACCATACATAAATTACACATTTTACATAACAAATTTAAAAATAAAAATAAAAAATGCTATTAAAACTCTTGCTCCTACTTTTCCTAACATAGAAGAAACATGCCATTATCACTGCACTCAGTGACTTGATTCTCACAGTATGTGAGTAGTACATAGTGACCAACTACTTCTAATCCATACCAACTAACTACACCCAACTCTGATACAATGCACATGTTCCAAAAAGGGAGTGCTAGAAAGACAGGGTGAAATGACATAAAGCAAGTGTGATTTCTGGGGATTTTAACTCACATTCATGTTCTGTGTCCAACAGCCCTATGTCAAATGATGCTGATTACCAGTTATAAATTGATGACCCACAGGCCAAATCCAGCCTGCAGATACAGTCTGTTCATTCTTTGTGGTGTTTTAAACATAAAACTGAATTAATTGCTCATCTTTTAAAATTGAAAGAATTCATACAAAAAAAAAAAAATCTAGATTTCTGGGCTCCACTTCAAAGACTGGGCAACCCTGGGCTCTGCTCCCATGGCAAGAGTCAAATGGAGGCTTGCAACTATAAACTGAACTGATCCAACTGCCCAAGAAATAAGCACCTTATCCGTATTTCCTTCCATATAAAAACAAGAAGTAGAGCGTGGTATTGGTCCTACTAGCAAACTGCCAAACATCTGCTATATGAGCCTCTGAACATGCCCTGTGTCAATTCTATCATGAGACTACAGAATTTCCTCTTCTCCAACCGCTCATGTGTGCATCAGGAGGCAAACTAAAGTGCTAGGACCTTCAGCAGTAGAGTGAATTAAAACAAGGAACCAATAATCTGTCAGCACAGAAGCACCTAGGGAGTGATGACATGCCCTAAGAGGTTTGATCAAAAATAGCCTGGGAAACTAGAATGAAGATAAAACTGACATTTTTTTTTTAATTTTTAGAACATAAGACTAACCCTTTCAATGGCAATATAGTGTAGCTTTGCCTCATTGTCAGAAAATGAGGTCTATACCCCCACTGCTGAATACGGCAGTCACTAGTCATGTATAATTACTGAGCACCTGAAATGCAACTAG